TGTGGTGGTTAAGGTGTTAACCACAGTTTAAGTCCTGGACCCATTGGCTTGAAAATCACACCAGGTGCAGTGTGTGCATACCCAAAATCTCAAGAGGAGATAGGAGGAGAAGAGATGTAGTGTGGCCACTCCCCTGAGGATGATTTCTTACTTTCCCTCTCTCTCTCTCTCTGTCTCTCTTCAGTGAGTATGGAAAATTATCTGTTGATGACAATGTGAGGGTTATTTCATTGACTGGACTAATGTACAGTATATTCATGATGAGAAAATTCACTTTCAAAGTTGTTAATATATTCAGTGATCGAATGTAAAAAATAAGGAAAAACGTGAGATAAAGAAAAATTAAGACTTGTATCAATGTGATCTTTCCTGAGAACTTCAAGTACACATGTGTGTTGGGGGTGTGTGTATGTGTGTTTAGACAGAGTTGCACTACATTGGAATTCTCCTGCTCCAGTCTCCTGCGCATCTGGGACCCCAACGCAGCACTGTCACGCCCAGCTCTTTCAGAAAGGGTCTTACTATATTGCTCACACTGGCTTCAGCTCAGGATCTTCCTCCTTCAACTTCCTGGGCAGCTGTAACTACAAGCCTGTGCCACTGTGCCAGGCTCTTAGGGTGCACCAGGAATCAAACTCAGGCCACTCATGTGACCCCAGCAAACCAAGCAGAAGCATTAACCAGCACATACTGCCAAGACTGAGCCCTCAAAAACTTTAGTCCACAATATCTAATCCCTGCCTCAGGGAATCCTGATAGAAATTTGTAGAATTATATCTTCTCCTGAATTAAAGATAAGTTCTTTTAGTTCCCTAGCCAGTGATAAGCTGTCATATATCTCTCATCTTCTTAGTCCTTTCAGAAGCAGACAGCCCAGAACCTACACAGTTCTTCATGAGTACATACTAAATTGAATTCAATTAGCTTCTCAGTTATTAAAACTGAAACTTTAACTGTTTTTCCTTTCTTCATTTATGATAGAATACATATGCACATCTGCGAGAGAGATAAGCACCTCCCACTGCGTCTTGTCAGATCGAAATCCCTTTCCTCCAGCCTTTCAGTCCTCCAGCCTATAGGCTCCTGGGTACAGGCACAGTAGCCTGGCATGTTTCCTTCTTCTTTTCTTTTCTTCTCTCTTTTTTCTTTATTGGGGGAGATTTTTGCTATAGAGCATGCACACTTGCCAGAAAGAGAGACACAAAGCGAGAAATCACCCCCCCACACACAACCCAGGAGAGAAGGCCATACTGCAATCTTTTCTGCTCCATTCTCCTCTCAGGATTTTGGGCATGCCCTCATGCCCCAGTGTGAGTTTAAGCTGGGTTCGGAATGCAAACTGAGGCAGAGTATGTGAGAGTCCAGTGATGTAACCATTATGCCATCTGGTGGTTCCATTGCCTGGCATGTTTCAAGCTGACCAAGTCAGTTACCTGAACCACAGTGGCCATGTGGAATCCAGCCCCAACCACGCAGTACAGCACTGTGCCACAGAACCAGTTCTGAACTAAATTTTATTTTATGATATATTTTCACTATGATTTTAGAAGATTTTAAAGAAACCAACATGTTATTTAAGTAGAATTAAAGCTGTTGATGGGGATATCTAGGCATACCTTGGAAGTACCAGTCGAAAGTTTGTTTTCATTTAATTGAACATTTTGCTGTTCTCAAAGACATATTTCACCAAACTTAGTCTACCCTTTCATGGACCATTGTATCTATGTGAGCAGTCACTGAGCCAGACAGACCTTTGTTTTATATGCGTGTGAAGAAGATCCATGAGCCATGAACAAGTGGGCAATGGAAGAAATAGACTTTTGATAGCACGAACCTCATCACTTTCAACCAGCTCAAACAAAAATAAGTATGTTTCTTATGATTCACAGTATAAGAATCCCAGAGGACTTAACTTTAACAGGGCACACTGTATCTAATACAGCTGCTCTGAAGCTGGGCCAGAATAGCTATCCTTGCTTAACCTTCTGGGCCTTGAATCAATAACAGGCCCAGACTACGTGAAGAAAATGAAATCGGTCTCACTGTATCAAATACTCAAAAAGCACCAAGCCAAGCTATCTGCCTAGCTATTGATTATTCATATATCCATCCAAACATCCATCTAGTCATACTAACCCCTAACCCACCTTTTGTGCATGACTGGAATATATATACACATATGTATATATATAAAATTTATATATATAAACATTATGTTATATATACATACATATGCTTTAAGCACTGTGTGTCTGACACCATTCTAAGTTTTACTTACGTTAAACCTCACAGTCATTACATAAGGAGATATATTATTTCCACCTTACAGAAAAAGAAATCCACGCTCAGGATATTTAAGAACCTGCCTAAGTTCATATAGTTATTAAGTGGTAAAACTGGGATTTAAATACTAGAAACTGACCCCCCCCCAACTCCCAGCCTTTACTCTTTTTTTTTTTTTTTTTTTTTGAGAGATTTTTGCTACAGGGCACGTGTGCTCGCCAGACAGACAGAGAGAGACATAGGGACAAAAAGCGAGAAATCACCCCCCAGGGGGGATGGTCACACCGCAATCCCTTCTCCTCCATTCTCCTCTTGGGATCTTGGGCACACACGTATGCACACGCGCCCGGCGTGAGTTTTAAGCCACCGGGTCCGGGACGTGAACCGCGGTCAACTACGTGGGAGTCCAGCGACATAGCCATTACACTAACTGCTGGTTCCTCCCAGCCTTTATTCTTAACTATTCTGTGATATATTACCAGAACAAATATTTTTTTTTGAAGTTGGAGAAATCTCTGAAGTTACTCTGTTTCTTGTTTTTTGTCTGTTTGTTTTTAAGAAATATTTATTTACCTTTTTATTTATTCTTTTAAATTTTTCTGTAGGGCACGTTTGCTTGCCAAAGGGTGACAAAGAAATAGAAGGAAAGTGAGAAAGCAAGCTGCCAGGTTCTGGACTTGAACCACATTCACCCAAACTTAACTAGTATACCACCTGCTGGCCCCAATTTCTGGAAAGGACCTACATGGGCTTATCAGAGAAGTGAAGGCTCAGGCACACGTAAATATCGAAAACCTGCTATAATTGCTCATTACTAGTTATAAAATTGCAAGTCTTTCTGGTAAACAGAATTAAGAAGGTGAAGTTGAAGAAACAAAGAAGCCAGCACATTTGCAAGGCAGCCCAATGTGCTCCTATGCAGATCTGCTCACAGGCCTGGCAAACATAGCCAAAGCATTCACAGGGGCAGGTTCTTTAGGAGGCCCAGACTGCAGGCCTCAGCGGGCATCAGCTAGTAAGGTGAGAATGGAAAATAAACACAATTATTTCATTCATCCTTGAGATAGAGGGAAGCCTTTGGCCTTCTGTAGAAAAGTATACACAACCAAACAAAACCATGCATGACTCAGAGCTGTATTTTGTACCAGGAAGGAAGGAATTCAGTGACTAAGATGTTACCAATAAACAACAAACCACTCTTTATGGGAGGAAAAAAAAGAGCACCATACGCCATAGCATTCCATCTGCAGGGAAGGCACCAGCTCAAGTTCTTCAGTGGGGGAGTTTACCTGCTGGCACTCAGAACTAGTTTTACCACTTAAAGGCTTCATCTCAATTCCTACTTTTCCAATAAAATGACAATATAAAAAGTCCTGGAAATTTTTTTGAAAACTCATGATATTGAAGAAGCCTTGCCAGAGGCAATAAAAGCCAGAGAAGCCAGATTAACAGTTGAATTTGGGACGAAATAGTCAAAGATACTTAGCTTTCATTCCAAAGGGCTACCCTTCATAATACGGCAGCTTATGAGGCTGTGGAGGTTAAGTAACGAGTTATGGCATTCAATATTTTTAGAGGGTTGAACCACCACCTTCCTCGGGTAAATGAACCATGTAGACACACCTGTGCCCCTCGGAATTACTTCTATGACTATTTTTTCCACTGCCAAGTCTGCATATTAAGTATCCTTACTGTGCACTCCTGGGCCCAGATGCCAAGAAAAATCATTTTGCTACACACTCATTCTTGGTCTCTCTCTGTTAGTGTTGGATGTGTTAGACTTAGCTACATTGAAAGTAAAATAAATTGCTCTTTTTTTTCCCCCTATAGATTTGCCAACTCCTGATTGGAATGCATTGTGTTGTCATTTTAATAGAATTTCTGTAGATTCACAATAAACTAATTGAGGCTCTCAGTCTTTAGTAAATGACACATTTATGTGAAGCAGCTAAAGAGGTGAGAGGTGTTCTCTAAGAAGAAATTTCTTGACCCTTTCCAATATCAGAACCTGACTCACTCCTCAAAAATGTGCAAAGGAAATGAATGTATTTTCACTCCACCCTTACAAAATACCAGGTTTCAGTCCAGCTCAAAATCCAACCAGCTAAAACAATATAAGAACAATCACTTCTAAGTAAATATGTGCCTGTTTATTTTTTTCCTTGTTATAGTTTTTTGATATGTTCTCTGTGAACTATATCCTAAGTATCAGAGGGCAAAGCAGAGTTCAAAAATACAATATGCCTCCTGACCTGGAGAACAATAATGTTCCCCTGTGCTTCTTAGATAACAATAAAATATGGCCTTACGACAGAAAATATTATGATTAACATTCTCCATGAGGGTAGAAGAGCCCAGCCAAGTAATTCCACTTGTGAGGACTTGGAGGGATTTAGTCTATGACAAGGAACTTAAATAGAAGATATGAGATCTAGAATTAAACAAATCGTACAAATATTATTTCTGTTTCAGTTTGAACAGGGGGAGATATTTGAGGAGTGGCGTGTGTGGGGGGGATGAGGGGTGAAATGGAGGGAGGTGGAAGAAGAGTACAGTAATAAGTGATGCCAGAAATGATTAGCAAAAGGTACCACCTTCATGGATTGCAATCGCTTATTCCTGGGTGTTTATCTGAAGGGAGGCACGTTCCCACCCTTCACTCTCCTGTGAACCAGCAGAAAGCCCAGAAGAGTAGGATTGAGGCGCCGCTCCCTTACCTGCACAGGTGTTTCCGTCGTAGGTCTCGCACACCCACTCGTGGCACTCACACAGGGGCCCGAAGTACATGCCCGGTTCGGCCACGTGACAGATGCAGACGCCACAGTCGCACCGGCCCCGGCCGTGGCACAGAGCGCCCCCTGGGGGCTGCCCGGGCGCGCGGCACCGGCGCTCGGACTCCGCCCGGGACAGCCTGCAGGCGGCTCCAGACCAGCTCCTGCATGGAAACAGACACCACAGCCACCATGGTCAGGCGTGGACACTGCCCATTCTGCTGGGATCCCACGCTTCCTGCATAGCGTCTAGCCCAGGAACGTACAACCCATGCCGGGGGACCCACATTTCTCGGGGAAAGAGCTCCCTGGAAGGGCTGTCTTTTCCAAGCAAGCAGGTGTCACCCACCGGAGAAACGACCGTGACCCAATATGTCTTAGGGTGACCTGCTTTCTTTCTTTCTTTTTTTTGGAAGAGGTTTCCGTAGGGTGCGTGCGCTTGCCAGACAGACAGACAGAGACAGAGAGACAGAAAGCGAAAAATCACCCCCCAGAGGGGACGGTCACGCCGCAATCCCTTCTCCTCCATTCTCCTCTCGGGATCTTGGGCACGCCCGCACACGTGCCCGGGACGTGAACCGCGGTCGACTACGTGGGAGTCCAGCGACAGAGCCATTACGCTAACTGCTGGTTCCTGGTGACCTGCTTTCTTGCGACTAGGACTTTCTTCCAGGTGGACAGAAGTGATCCAGCCCTGCCCCGTGGCGGTTTGTCAGCACATCTTACATTCATTTAGATTAAATACAAATTAATCAGAAGTATGACACGTGGCAGACTTTTCAGTTTTCTTTTTAAATGTCCCATTACTATCTGCTAGCCAGGATGATTACTTTAAAAAGACAAGATGAACATGTAGCAGGAGTCCTATTTATTATGACTAATGTAGAGCACAAAAGTTTCGTTTTTCTTTCTCTTCTTTCATTTGCACTAAGCCATCTTTAAGAACTCTACCTTTTAAAAGTTTAGTGGAGCTATTGTGATGCTCAAAGTCTTCTGGGAAATGTCACACAAAATGTCATGAAGACCCCAGGTCGATGCTGCCAGCAAACAGAAATAAGACGGTCCGTGTGCTAGGAGAGCACGCAGTACGCATCGGACTACCTTTAACTGTGGCTACAGTTTCTCCTGTATTTGCAGGGGGAGAAATTATCTTTTTATTTAATGCTTGTTAGGCTTTCCAAAGACACAGGAAATGGGCAGAGATGAAGAAACGCACAACGTTGATGTAAGGAAAGGGAAAGGGGCAGGTTGGAAATAGTTTTTCCCACGTCCAACTAGGTTCTTGGCTGAGGCTGGCGTCCTGCAAGCTTGAGCCCTGACACAAAGCGGGCAGGTCTGTCTCGAGCAACAACAAACCAGACTTACCTCAGAGATGGCGAGAAGCTTGGAGGAACAGCTGACAGCCCAGCGAAGAGAAGCGATGACGCCAGCAGCAAGAAGTTCCTGCAGCCCCCGGGACGCATGCTGAGCCGCGGGCTGTGTGGGGCCAGCGGCCCTCTGCAAGGTGGGGCTCGCAGGGGAGCGGCAGGAGGGACCCGGGCCGCCAGCAGATGGTCGGGCAGACTTAGCCACCGACACTAGGCTTGCAGGTCCGGGGCTCGACCCAAGCTGCAAGTGCGTTGATGAACTGCCTGCGAGGATTTGGGCAGCAGCGCTGCTCTGGGCAGGGTGCGCATGCCAAACCCCTGAGTGGAGAGTCTAGGCAGGGAAGTAATTAGAAACAGTTGTACAAGCAGATGGTTTATTTTGACATTAAAAAAAAAAAATAAAGTATCCTGTTCACAGATTTGAGAAAATCTTTCAAGTACAGGCCCCAGAAATATTTGACAAGAGACTATTTGGGCTGGCTGATATTAAAGGGACAGTTAAAATAATCCCCAAGTTGTGAAAAGGAAGGGCAAAAGCCAGTGGTAGACAGCAGGAACGCCTAGGGAGGGAATTACTTCACCACTTGCTTTTTAAAAAGATGCAGGATTGGGGATGGGGGGGAGGCAAGCAAAACTGGCAAATGCAAGTTCTCCTTGTATCCATTGACTTTTGTTTTCAACTGTGGGTCATTTGTTTCTTAAATCTTTAAAAAGTGTGTCAGGCTTCCAGTTGTTCAGGCCAGTAGCTTATCACACTGCCCTTTTTTCTTGACTTGGACAGTTCAAGTTGTGGTTGTCCCAAATTCACCCCTTCTTTCCTCACATAGCAAGGGTGAGGAAAAAAAAAATGTCTTTTTATAGTGGAAGTTGCCTGAAAAATCAGTGTCATTTGCTAAGCACCTACTATGTATTAGACATTTAGGATATTTTCTCTACTATGACAATGACCATGCCCTCATTTGATCATTTATCGAAAGTGTATTTAGCATCCATCAGATGCCGGGCTCAATGCCAGATGCAAGGGGAACTGGCAGGGACTAAGGAGACATGATCCCTGCTTTCCCAGGCTCCAGTGGACTGGGGAGGCATGAACCAAAAAAGAACCACAAATACAAAAGGATGAATGGTTAATGTGTAGTGAAAAGTTACTTCTAGATTAGATAGAGATACATCATCTTATTCAAGTTGATGGTATGTTAACTAAGGCTTCCAAAAAGGAATAGAATTAAATTGGGTGGGCATAGGGAGGGGTGGGACAGAGTAGGGAGGTATTCTGATTCTCATTTTAAAGGTAAAAAAATAAATAAATAAATAAATAAAATGAGGCCAAGGGCCAGCTTAGGGCATGGGCCAGCTAGTAGTATGATGGATAAGGCAGCTAGATCCCACATAACTAATGCAGTTTAAGCACCCAGACCAGCGGCTTGAAAAACACAATGGGTGTGTAGGTGTGTGTGCCCAAAATCCAGGAGGAGAATGGAAAAGAAGGGATTTTAGTGTGGTCATTACACCAGAGGGATGGCCTCTTTCTGTCTCTCTCTGGCCCTATAGAAATTTAAAAAAAAAAAAAATTAGAAGGAACTGAAGGCAAAGAAGTCAACTGACTAGCTCAAATTAGCACAGTAAGTTATAGTCAACTAAAATCTGTGGTACAACAAAGCACACCTACTGTCTCCTACATAGTGGGATTATGTGGGAAAAGACGTTGAGAGTTATATGGAGGGAAGAAGGCACTCTTCCTTCACCCTAGTAAGAGCACTTCAGATGCAGTGGTTTATCGTGAAATAGAGCCATCGGAAAAGCACTGTGGTTCTGAAGCTTAAACTGGGGGATGAACAATGCAAGCTGAGTTTCTCCCTGTCACTTACATGAGTAGATAGAAGAACAAGACCTCCTCAACATTTGCCTAATGGAGTAAAAGGCAAATGAAGGTCCCTTGAGCACAGACCAGTCCTTTTCTACTCCCATCTGTCTCCACTTGTACCAGGAGGGCTTTTGCATTGGGCACATCTGTGCATCCACTCCAGGCTTCAAAGCTGCTCCAAATAGCTTCTGTTTTTAACCCTTAGACACAGGTGTGTGCACACGAGTGGGTCAGAAGGACAAAAGGGCAGGCAGGACAGGCATGCACAGTCTTGTTGTGGTATTGGAGCATGTCTAGGCAGGAATCTCTGAACTCTTGAGTTTGCGGATTATAGCTTATAAGGAAGGAAATGGGTTATGGCTGGTGGTTTTTCTGGATTACATGAACAACTCATGCTGTGGGGAGGGGTCTGTCTGAAAGAAGGTTATATTGATGGTCCTTAAAGTGTGGTCCATGGACCAGAAGCATCATTTCACCTGGAAACTGGTTAGAAGTACAAGTTCCCAGGTCCCAGCTTTCAATTTCAGAGTACATTTGACTAGAAAGGCATAGGCTCTCCTGCCAACATCTAGAAACCCGGTGACTCAGAGAATATGGAAAGAGTAGAAGGGAAGTCTCCGTTCCGAAGCCTAACTAGGAATTCACAAAGAACTTTAACAAATGAGTCAAGTATTGTTTACTTTTTGCATATTTTCTGAAGGGGGAAAAGAATCATTGAGAAATAGGGAACTGATGTTTTTGAACACTACTTTTGTGGACTAAAGCAATTTTTGTAACCTGTACTATTCTTATCCAGTGGCATTTTCAGTGAGCAGTTTTATCCTTTAGAGTGTGCAGCTGTGAAGTAAAGATAGTGTGTACTAGTTGACTGAGAGAATTCAAATGTTCAGCTCATTTGATTACTGTGACTCAGAAAAAAATATTCCCAGTGAGTAGAAATAGTTAGATTGTGGCTAACCTGGTGATTCACTAGCAAGTCTTAAATCCACAAAAATGTTGTCACAATTAAAAAGATAACTTTGAAGTTACTCCTTTTAGCAAATTTTGTATTCTTTCTCTTTTTTAAATTTTTTTCTTTTCTTTAATGGTGTTTCACTGTGTTTGGTTCTTCTGCCTCAGCCTCATGAGTAGCTGGAAGCACAGTTGCCTGGCTTTTTAGGGTCACCTAAAACGTGGGCCTCCCATGTGGCCTCAGCTTGCTAAGAGACAGTGTCAACTAGCATGTGTTACAAGGGTTGTTCCCAATGGACTTTTAAAAAGTTATCTAGTTCACAATTAAATTAGTTGACAACATGCAACACACCTGCTAAGAGATTAGGAAGACTTAGTTAAAAGAAAAAGAAAAAGGAAAAGAAAAAAGCTCTTCCCTTTGCCCTGAACAGACACAAGAATGTTAAGTTCTCTGCTGAAAATAATGCATTAATATATGGTAGTATCCTTGATTTGCTCGCCACACTGCACGCATACTTTGAAAATGTCATATTATGGGCTATAGAGATATGTGACAACTGAATATAAATCAAGAAATCATAAAATAAAATGACGCTTAGAGAAATACATTGTTTTTCAATAGCTGCTCTCAAATTTTCAACCATTAGTTCTAATTTTACTTCAAAAGGCCATTCAAAATAATATTCAGGCCACTAACCCAATTCAAATACTTGAAGAAATAAAAGTCATTCCCCAATTATACTACCTGTCTGGATAGCCCCTAAATAATTTGACGTTATTTTAAGATGAACATTTTCATTTCTTTCATCTCCTTGTGTATTACACCTTGCAGCCTTCAATACTCTGATTTCCTGAGTATTTTCATTTTGTTTGGGGTAGGTGCCTTTTGTAAAGTAGGATATGCACAAGTGAGACCATTAAGGCAGACATGGTCTACTATATGTGGAACAGGTCAGTACTTTAGCATTCTTGTTTCACATACTGTTATCTACAAATAAACGGAAGATCTCTTAGGCTTCTTTGACTGGCACATTGACTCACTTCTGTGCTTATAAAATGTATTTTTCCCCAAAGAGAAATTAACAATTTTATAAAGCTTATTGCTTCCATGAGTGAGAGAGAATAAGACAGAGACCAAGAGACAGGCAACTCCAGCAGGGTCTTGAAGCCATAATCTATCCCAACCTTGGATCATGGGCACACACATGCTCAGGGTTACTCAAGTAGGTCTCTGGACGAAAACCCGAAAACTTTTTTTCAGAGAGGCAATTTTTGTCACAGGGCACATGCACTCGCCAGAGAGACAGAGACACGGAAAGCAAGAAGTCACTCCCCAGGGGGAATGGCCACCCCACAACCCCTCCTCCTCCATTCTCCTCCCAGGACCTCAGGCATGTACACACACATATGCCTGGCATGAGTTTAAGCCACCAGGTCTGGGACTCGAACCACAGTCTACTACATGGGGGCCAATGACATAACCATCACACCATCTTCTGGCCTTTTTTTGTTATTTGTTTGCTTTTTTAAAGAAAAATTGAAACCTTCTTATGTGGGTCATATTTGAGAGTGTCATGATTTACCACTGAACCACCATACAGCCCCATAAACTAATATTTGTTTTTATTTAATTTTATCTAGGCTCATCTCTTTATTTCAGTCAGTAAAAATCATTATGAATTCTGGATTCATATTTTTCCCATCCTCTCTAAAGTACATATGATGATCCCAGCTTCTTGTATCTTTAGCCAAATAATTGACAAAGTAGTTTTAAAATACTTAGACTGAGAACCGAGTGTAAGCGAGATCTTTTTTCAAGACAAAAGTAACTTTTTTTTAGAGAGAGAGAGACTTTTACTATAGGGTGTGTGTGCTTGCTGAAGAAACAGACAGAAAGCAAGAAATCACCCCTCAGGGGTGGGGGGAATGGTCCTGCTGTAATCCTTTCTCCTCCATTCTCTTCTCAGATTTTGAGCATGCACACACATGTTGCTTGGCATACGTTTCAAGACACCAGGTCCAGGAATCAAACTGAGGTTGACCACGTGGGAGTCCAGTGCCTTAACTACTATGCCACCTGCTGCTTCCCCCCAAATAACTCTTTAATTAGCACATTTTGAGCCTGTAACCCAGTCATTTGTGAGTGTACTGAGTTCTCTAGTATCAGCCTATTTCTTCATTTTCTTCACAAGAATTTTATAGACAATCCCATTACTTGTCTTACTTTCTAGGTAAAACTTCACTTTCACATTTTTTCTGCAATCATCTAAAACAGTGCCCAAATATTACATTCTCGATATATATTTGTGGCATGAAAAAAGTTAACTGTAAGTAATGCACAACATGAAGAATTGATATATTAGTCAACAAAGGATGCAAGTGACAGAGTGGATTGTAAACCAGTTGTCAGATGATGATTGTGACCTTTGAACCAGTGCCATAGGACAGTGGTTAAGGAAATCAAATCCCATGTGGCCAAGTAGGGCTCAAATCCTAGCCCTGGTAACCTGACAAACACTCTGGGTACTATGTGTGTGCACACCCCAAATCCCAACAA